TTAAATTTTTTCAGGTCTGGGGAAATCTATCAACCATCTGCAGGTTTTATCTTTTCTACAGCAGTTTTATCTTTTAAAGCAGCTTAATTTACCAACAGGTGGATACCCTCAAACAGAAAAGCATGTCCTTTTTGCTGCATTTTTCTGCAGACGCATAGCTAGAGTCTCTCCTTTGTTCAACCTGGAGTAAAGATGATGAAAAAACTCAAAACTGCTGCTTGTATGTACACTATTTCCAGGTCTCTTTTAAAGCTATTAAACACCATGGCTGCTTAGTAATGCAAAAAGGAGATTTACAGTCTCTGATAACTTCTGGGCTATGACCTTGGCTGCAGAACTACCAATTAAATAGAGAAGAATGCTCAGCTCAGCAGGTTACTATGAAGAAAGGGTTCTGTCTCATGACCTCATGTCTCTGTACATGGAGCAGATGAAGACACTGTTGGTTATAGATCCTTCCAGCAGCATTGTTTTTTTTAATTGACATTTGTCATCATCAGCCATTGAGTTGTGTCTGACCCTTGGCCGCTTTATGGATCAGCACTCTCCATGCCTCTCCATGTCTCACATTGCCTCTTCAGATCCACCATAGTCATCCTGGTGTCATTCTTTATAGCAGTGTTTCTCAACCTTGACAATTTTAAGGTACGTGGACTTCAACTCCCAGAATTCCACAGCCAGCATTGCTGGCTGTGGAATTCTGGGAGTTGAAGTCCATGTGCTTTAAAATTGTCAAGGTTGAGAAACACTGCTTTATAGTGTCCAACCAGCTGGTACTAAGGTGACCGAGCTTCTCCTTTTTCTGCTGATCACTCCCAGCTTGATTGACTTTTCAAGTGAGTCACTCTCATGACATGACCAAAGTATGACAGCCTGTATTTGATGATCTTGGCTTCAAGTGATATTTTTGGTGAGGTTTGATCTAGGAAAGGGGTGTCAAACTGCCGGCCCACGGGCTGGATGCATCATGATGAAACCGTACCCACCCCATTGCTGGCAATGGAAAAAAGTTGCGATATGTCGTGACACATCATGTGATGTTGCGAGTTTGACACTCCTGGTCTAGAACTTCTTTGTTTGTTATTTTTGAAGTCCATGCGATGTGTAATAGTTGCCTTCAGAACCACAGTTCAAAGGTGTCCACCCTTCTATCTGCCTTTTTCAGAGTCCACATTTTGCAGCCATAAGTAGCAAGTGGAAAAGTTATTGTGTTAACTAATCTGCATTTGGTTGTGAGGCTGATGTCTTTACTCTTCCAGATGTTATTCATGCTAGACACTGCCGTTCTTCCAAGTGCTATATGTCTTGTGATCTCAGGGCTGCAATCATCACTTTGATCAATTTTAGAGCACAGGAAGATGAATTCCTTTACTGTTTTGATGGTCTCATCTGCACTCTGACCTGTGTGTTGTCTGAGGTTGTCATTATCCAATTTTTTCACTTTCATCTTTGACTCATGGGATATAAAAACCAAAGATTTGGAGCTTCTTTCTCCATTGAACTCTGGAGGGGGAATCATGGTCTTCCTGGAATATTAAGACTCATTGCATATCAGTCCCCAGGCTCTGGGGAATAAAATCAGTCAATAATTGCATAATGAAGATGGGTTTCTCTCTATGGAGGAAGGAAGACACCCTAGTCATACTGTGTGAGAATAAATGTTCAGTTTTTGACTATGATCCACAACAGCCAAAGCTTTGTGTTGCTGTACAATACATGCCTACTGGTCACTATAGGCCTTCAAGTATTTCCTAACCTTTCCAGTATGTGTATGTATTGCATTTTAAGTATTATGTATTCTCTAATTTTTTGAGTGTCTAGCTCCATTATAAATGAGAAGTGTCTTTAAAATATTAAATATCTTGATGCTGTAACACATCTCTCTTTATATAGTTGTCCAAGTTAGTCTACATGTCACTGTAGCTAAAAGTATCCTTCAAGTTGAGTCCTAGTAGCTATATAGATGCATCCTTATCACTTTCTTGATAGCAATCATGCAAGAGATTGGCCATTGCTGTCTTCTGGGATGTTTTTCCAACTTCCCTAGAACCTATGAATTTACTGGGGAATCTCCTATTCAAGAACTAACCAAATGTAATGCTGATTAACTTTTCTAGTTACAATATTTAATGAAATTGGGGAAATTTCCATCATGGAATTTCTTGTAAATGGAGGCTAATTGGTTTTGTCTGTGTGCTTCTGTGTTAAGCATTATTTGACAATAGCTACTGAACATGATGAAAGGTTGATCAATTTAATACAGTTTGATTTTTGAATTTGCAATATTCCTTGTTTGGGCTACACTTTTTTGTACATGACATATTGGTGATATTTTAAAATATTATGGGATAATTTTGGAATTTCTTTAGATCACATCCTGTATTTCATAATCAATGTGCAACTGACAAACTAGGATGTTGCAAAACACATAGGATGTTGCAAAATATCTGTGGTCATTTTGCATAACAAAAACGGTACAAGATTGAGTCCTGCATCAATCAAATCTTGAGTTATTGCTTCCTTGTTAATGCAGTTTTGTTAGCAAGTTATGTGGAGGCCAACTAGAAAAGATTTTAATTTTAAAAAAATTATGTGGCTACCCATTTTGTATACAAACTTTGAGCAGTTAAAATCAATCAACTAAAACAATAAAAATGCTATCAATAAAGCAAAAAAAAGAATTCAAATACACACTGACCAATGAGTCGTAAAACAAGTTGAGACTCCTTTAAAGTTGGAATCCTGTAAAATGTTGTTTAACTACCAAATTGTTAAATAGTGAATGGGTTGATACAAATTAGAGATGCTTTAAATGATTTTACTGAGCATTAATTCTTGACAAATACCATTGATTTGGACTGTCTTTATTTTGTATGTAATTAGATTGAGTGTTTTTCTTTTGGTAAGGAAAATAAGGGCCCTATCCAAGAAAATGAGTTTTAATGTAAGAAAAGCAAAGTTTTACATTTAGGCAAGAAAAATCAAAGATATAAGTACAGATTAGTGAGATCTGGCTCAGAAACAGTGACTGTGAGAGGGACCTTGGAGTTCTAGTGGACGATCACTTGACTATGAGCCAGCAGTGTGCAGCCGCCATCAAAAAAACTAATACAATCCTGGGTTGTATAAACAGAGGCATAGAATCAAGATCATGTGAAGTATTAGTACCACTTTATAAAATCCTAGTGAGACCACACCTGGAATACTGCAACCAATTTTGGTCACCACACTACAAAAAAGATGTTGAGACCTTGGAAAAAGTTCAGAGAAGAGCAACTAAGATGATAAAAGGCCTGGAGACTAAAACATATGAAGAACTGCTGCAGTTTGGCTAATCTAAAAAGAAGAAGAAATAGGGGTGACATGATAGCAGCATTCCAGTATCTGAGTGGCTGCTAAAAGAAGAGGAGGTAAAATTATTCTTCAAAGCACCAGAGTGAAGGACAAGAAACAATGGTTGGAAACTGATCAAAGAGAGAAGCAACCTGGAAATAAGGAAAAAGTTCCTAACAGTGAGGACAATTAACCAGTGGAAAAGCTTGCCTTCAGAAATCATGGGCACTTGTCTGAGATGGTATAAGTTCTCCTGCTTGAGCAGGGGGCTGGACTAGAAGACCTCCAAGGTCCCTTCCAGATTCTACTCTACTCTACTCTACTCTACTCTACTCTACTCTACTCTACTCTACTCTACTCTACTCTACCCTACCCTATCCTATTGGCAGATTTGTTTTGCTGGGAGACCAAGATCCAGATTTGAATGAAGAAAGTTATTGTTCATCAAATTATTAATAATATTTTTAAACTGACTCTTCCACTTCCTTTAAAACAGCCTATCCCAGTTTGGTATGATCTTTCTCCCAACCCATCAGAGTCACTTATACTGAGGCTGTTAAGAGTATAGATGGAGACAGTAGAGTGACACAATCCCACACCACTATTCACCACCTCCTGGCAAAGTAAATAAACAGATGAATGGAATGGGATGAGCATAAAGCGACATTTTATTCTCATTGATAATTTTTATAATTATGAACGATGATTGGATGCTGCTCTGTTACTCATCAGAATTATCAACCTCCCTGATTCCTTACTGCACTATTAAATTGCTATTATGGACCATTAATTAGAAGTTGTTGTTTATCAAGTTCTTTTCCTACTAATTGGTAGTGATTTTGTTTTGCACCAGTTTTTGTCTGTAATGGTTATCTTCGTATTGACTTCTATTCCTGCCATTGCTTGGTCATCTCCTCAGACTAAAAGTACGTAACTAACTAACTGCTCACAAAAGAAAAATATTTATACTGTATATTAGATTTGCATTAGTTTCCTCTAGAAGCTTGGATGTCTCAACAGCATTCCTTCTTCCATTCCTTCTTCTCTTCAATAGCCCTGAGTAATAGATTCATGGATGAAGAGCTACAAAATTCTAGTCCAGCAGTTTAACTCTTGCAACACTTAGATCCACACACACACACACATTTGTTATTTTGGAAGTAGAAAACTACTTGCCTGGCCTTGAAGGTGGAATAGGAGTAGAAATGAGCTGGACAATTCACATAATTACATTGAGGGATACAGGAGGTATGCTGATATCCTAGATTAGCTATGGACAATCAGCTTGAGAGGCTCCAGTTCATCACTTCCCAGAATTACTTGTGGCCAGAAGAATTCTGTACTTGCTCTCACCATCAGTTGCTGAAGATAGGTTGACTGAGTGGTAAGTTTTAATCACATAGATAGAGCTTCTCCGGGATGAACTTCCTTTCAAAGTGGTACTTCATATCTTTAGTGGTGTACTTCTAGCTGCAATAATTGAGTCCATCCACCTTTCTGTTAGCCATCCTTTTCTTGTCCTCCCGTCTCCCTTTCCCAGCATTATGGACAAGAATATGGTCTTCTCAATATATTTCCAAAATATGGTAAATTGACCCTGGTCATTTGTGCCTTAAGTGAAACCCCTGGATCGATTTGTATTTTGATCAATTTGTTTGCTTTCTTAGGTATCCATATTATGCTCAGGAGTTTTGTCCAACCCCAAAGTTCAAAGGTATTAAAACTACTTGAAAGTCTAACTTCCTGATTCTATACAGAATAATGTCTGCATGATTCTGATCTTTGTAGATATATACTAGACATGTTGCAGCTTCTAAATATCTTTTCCAAGGCTTGCATTGCTTCCATACAAATACTGCTATTTCTTGACTGCTAATTCTTTTACTCTTGATAGTTAATCCTAAAAGGCAACAGCTAGTCACTCCTCAGTGTCTTAATTGTCATTTCTTAGGCTGGTTGCTGAATGTGTTGTCATTATATCAATTTTGCCACTGTGCTCCTTGACAGTACTAGAGCTTGCAGATTATTTACTTTTTCACCTTTCTCCTTTGTTTGTTTGTTTGTTAAATTTTTTGGCCACCCATCTTACCATTGGGGACCTCCAGTTAATATTAAAATATTAAAAAGATAAAACCATATAAATGAAATACTACAAAAATACAGAAATACAAAATCCTAATGCACAGCTAAAGGAATAGGAGGGAAGTGAGATACGTTATGAATTTATCAACCATCTCCCAATGGGAAGCCCCTACTTTGGAGCCCAAACCAATTGGCAGAGCCATGTCTTTAAGCTCTTTGCAGAAGATCAGGAGGATTGGAGCCGACTTCACTCCGGAGATGTTCCATCTTGATGGCAAACAAGCTGTTCTCCTGAACTCTGCCAGCCAGAATATCCTAGGCACTGGGGCCTGCCTCTTTCTGTGCCAGGACAGGTGGGGTGGGTCAATCCCAGTGGAATGAGATGGTCCCTCAAATAGCCTGGACATATGCTATGAAGGGGCTTTAAAGGTGATTACCAATACCTTGAATTGCACCCAGAAGCAAACCAACAGCCACTGCAACTTGTAGAGCAGTGATGGGCCAACCTTTGGGCCTCAAGAACTGCTGGTGTTGCTCTTTTGCACTCTGCAATGTTATCAGTATAGTCAGGTTATTAATGCTGCTTTTTGTATTTTTAAAGCCATGCTATTTTTTTTCCAAACTAGCTGCCCTCAAAATATATTTAACACATATTCCTCATGTTGGCTGGAAATTCTGAAAGTTAAAGTCCGTACTTCTTAAAGTTTCCAAGTTTGAAAAATGCTGGTGTACAGCCTTGTCTCAGTCAGCATGGGTTCAAAGCTTTTCTCATCAGAGTCACAGATAATAAAAGTGAAAGAGGTTTCTTCCTACATTGTTATCTATTTGATGGAATATAAGCCTGGGACAGCTTTGCATTTTATTGTAAGAACAATGAGTAAGTGTTCATTTGAAAGTTTGCCTAATATGCTGCTGGCCAAGAAATCTCAGTACATTCTTGTAAAGAAGCTTTATTAAATGCCTTGTCATTTCTTATGTCTTTGTTACAAAATTAAAAATTTATCCCATAAGCTAATTGAAATGAAAGTTAAGGTGGTTCATGTGTATTTAATATATATTCCAATCCACCTCTTTGTTTCCTAAAGCATCGTAAGCTTGTTTTGCCAACAGTACAAGTTTGTCTACCTCTCCTTTATTTGTCTTATATTTGTTTATGTCAAATTTTATTTATCACCTGTAATGAAAATTTCTCTATAATAATTAGGATTGTTCAGTGTAAAACACAAGTCCAGAAGAGCATTGGCAAAATAACCTATCCAGACGTTTAGGATTAAATGTGGAGCCCTTCATACTCTCTGACTTGGTTGTTTGCTTGCAGATGTTTCGTTACCAACTAAATAACATCTTCAGTGCTAGAAGGAAATGGGATTTGCTCTCTGTTTATGTACAGTAGCTTGCCCTGTCAGTGTTGGTGTCCTCGATTAGGCTGTTGTATACTGTTGGATTGTTTGTCTGGTGTTGATTCTGGTGTTTAATCTCTGTTTTCTGGGTGTTGGTTACAAGCAAGGAGGTATTTTGATCTTTTTCTTTTCTATTAAGCTTTTTTTATTGTCTTATGAACATTGACATAGCATTCAAAACTTTGTATCTATGTGCCTGTTGGTGATTGAACACATCCATGAACACCAATTTACAGTCAGAAGATAAAAATCTTTAATTACACAGATTTAACCATGGTTTCAATTGTGAAAATATGAGCATCCAAAATCAAGCTAAATTCCCAAATTCTAGGAAGTTCCTGGCCAGCAATCAATCAATACCTAGATAAGTAGGGATTGACATGATCACACAAACAATCAAGCAGTATACAATACTCAGTGAATAAGGGTACCAACTCAGACAAACAAATAGTAAATAAAACCTAATCAAGGACTATGAAGAAGCAACACCCCGTACCAACATTAATAGGCCAAGCTACTGTACCTAAACAGAGGGCAAACCTCTCTCCCTTCTAGCATAGAGATGTTGCCAGATCTGGTAACAAAAACTGCAAGCAAGCTCAGAAGATACCAAGGACTTCACAATTGAATTATGAGCTACAGAATTCTGTACAGATTCTATTGCTTAGGATCTTAAGAGTATAGAATAATAGGGTTGGAAGGGATGTTGGAGGTTTCTAGTCCAACAAATCTTGTTCCAACAAGGCTTTTTCTCAGATGTTTAGTGCTTAAAAACAGCCAAAAAGCAGAGCTGTTCCAATCAATTGATTTTAATTAGTTAATTTAATTTTAGGAAACAACAAAAAATGATTTTGATGAGACCAGAGTTTAAAAAATATTTTTAAAGAATACATCTATTTATATAGATCAAGGATGACAAAACCAATATTTTAAGAGGCAACTCACAAACAGTTATAGCTAGAAAATGAACTGAACAAAATGTTCATATTTTCTCCTGATCAACCATCAGGAATCAGGATATTTATAATTTTGTATCTCAGATTTGCACATGTCAAAACTTTGCTAAAGATAAGTGGCTTCTGTTCTCCAATCTTTGCATTTGCTGAAACAGTGACTCCCTTGCCCTGGATGAATGGAAGCAGCCAAGGTAAAATGCGGATGGGGAGAGTAACTGGCTAAGACTGCTTATTTACCATTTTAATTATTCTTACCTATAATAAGTTAGAGGATAAGGTAAAAGAACCTTGTGGGGCAATGGGACAGGGAAATAAGAAAGAAACCAAGCATGGGAGATGCAACCTGAAGTTGACTTTGGTATTTGACATCTGGAGAAGGTTTTTGCTATGGAATAATGTTGAAAACTTGCAAGAATTTGTGAGAGATGGAAGCATTTAGCATTTCATTTATATCTGAAAGGATACAGTTTCTTAACCTCAGAAACTGTTGTTGAGAGACACAGTCTAACTCTGTGACTACAGTTAATGTTTTATTGTAGGGTTTTGTTTGTTATTCTTTCTCCTCCTAGACTCAGACAATGAACTATGTGGGCCAGATTGCTGAAACTGTGTTTGGCACGGTGAAGGAGCTGTACAGGGGTCTGAATCCAGCCACCCTCACGGGCTGCATTGATGTCATTGTGGTAAGGCAACCAGATGGCTCCTTATGTTGCTCACCTTTCCACGTGCGCTTTGGGAAGCTGCGAGTTCTGCATTCCAGTGAAAAAGTGGTAAGTGGTTCCAGATGTGTAGCAGCTAATGCTATAACTTTCTACAACTTAAATAGAACTCCATCAGGGTCTCTCTCTCTCTGTCTGTCTCTCTCTGTCTCTCTCTCTCTCTCTCTCTCTCTCTCTCTGTTATACAATACATATATTGTATATGTATGTGGGGATGGATGGATGGATGGATGGATGGATGGATGGATGGAAGGATAGATGGATGTACACACACACACACAAACACACACACTTCTTAGATTGTGTATTAAGGATCACAGTCTTAATTTGGCAGGATGCAAGTTAATAAGTAAAATAATTAGGTTTTTCAGGCTGTTAAACTGGGACAAAGCAGGCTTACACAGGGAAAGTTGGCACTTTTATGGCCTTTTAGGAAATGTTCTTTCAAAAATTGCTCCAGCTTTGGTTGCTCAATGGAATCAAGATGTATGGTAAGCCTCATTATGATATACAACTGATGTCCATCCACTCATTATCAAAAATGAAACTTTGGCAGCTACATGCCTCTTTGTTTCAACTTGCCATTACATTAAGGGGGAGAGGTATTGTTTTAGAATTGGTTAGATCAGTGGTTCTCAACCTTTTTAATGCCGTGACCCCCCAACCGATCGTAAGTCGAGGACTACCCAACCGGTCGTAAGTTGAGGACTTTCCTTGCCCGGGAGCGTCGCGTATGCGTGGTGCCGCCTCCTGCGCCGGCTGAGGCATAGCTGGCAAGCGGCAGAGATGGTGCAGGCCGACCACTGGCTGGGCCACCAGCTGGCCCAGCCCAAGGGAGGTAAGGCACCCGCCGGGCCCCACGCACGCCAGCAACTCTCCCTGCGCCCGCCAGCCTCCCACCTCCAACCCCTGGCCCTCTTTTACTTACATTTTTAGTAGTTGCTTAGCAGGGAGGGGTGGAAACTTCCAGACAGCTCACCTTCGCTGCAGACAACTTGCAGCACCGTTTGCAGAATGGGACTTTTGGCGGGCTCAGCAGGGCAGAGACAGCCTGGACAATTCCTATTGGCTTTTGAAAGCCAATAGAATAAAAGGGAGTAGCACAGCTAAGGAAAAGGGGAAAAAATGGCGGACTGCGTTGTTTGGTGACCCCCATGAAATGGTCATTTGATCCCAAATGGGGTCCTGACCCACAGGTTGAGAACTGCTGGGTTAGATGGAGAAACGAAATCTCTACGATTCTACTGAAGACCGTGAAAGTGTGAAACCTTTCCAAGGACACTGCAGCAGGTGTGGAGAGGAAGCAGACAGTTCCCATAACAAAGTGAAATTGTTTACATGAACTACATGAAAGGGTGGGGGTTTGGCCAGAGAAATATTATTTAATTCTATGAACTGGTGTCTGGGAACTTTAGAATTAGTTTTGCTTTGACATTACTGTGCTGTGCATTCAATAAACACTAAGATTTTTGGAAATGGAATGAACCTGGAGTTTTATTTGGATTCTTGAGCTGTATGTTGATACTTACTCTCTTTAGAGTAGAAAGCAAAAGCCTATAGCCACTGGGCATATTCACAAATCTTTGTACTATCCATGATACAAAGATTTTGTGAAATAATCTAATAATCGTCCCAATTTTTGTGTTTCAGCCTTCAACCAGAATTCCTTTGGCTGGCAAGGATTGTTTGTTTATTAAATTTATATACTGCCTATCTCACTATCCAAACTGAAATGAATGATTACTATCACTATAGAAAGTGATTATGGCAGCTATGCTAAAATATCTGGAAAGCAAAAATATTTCATATCCTGGATTGTCAATTCATTTTTTTCACTAGTCTCTGAAAATGTTCAATACATATAAAACAAATTGAATAGTTTCCATTCCCATTTACTTTTTAGCTGTGAAAAATTCAGCATGCCTCATATTATTGTCGACTATGCCACAATAATCATGGTATATATATATATATATATATATAGCAGAATGATAAGATTGTATTTACATAGCCTCAACTACTAAAGCCACATTTATTTATTGAATGTGTATGCCACTCAATCCTAATAGTTCTTGGCAGATTATTGAATTATAATACAAACAACAACATTCCATTTACCAACTACAGCATCAAAATCAGCAACCATGAACAATGAAATTATAAAGGGTTGGCTAAAAAATACATTTCAAACTCTTTCCTCAACTGAATAAGGAGAGGCCAGCTACAATTCCATAACATAAGCCTCGTAATACTTAGAACAATTATTATTTGAATAATTAGAACTAACTATTTATGCTAAATAAATCTGTATAAAAGGGATAGTAAGTAATTCAAATCAGAAAGTAAGTATATTGCCTTCTGATATTTTTGGATTAGATGTGAAGTCCTTTGTGTATCTGTTGAATGACGTACATTGCACAAAGTTGTCTGTCTCTTGAGCCATTTACAGCGCCAGGTATTTTTAAACTGGTCTGTGTACTTTTAATCTTCTAACCGTTTCCTGTTATGTTGAAATCTGTTATTCCTACTGATAAAAGGGAGAATGAAGAAAGGGAGAACATCCACAGCAGAAAATGGATCTGGAAAGTGGCATTAATTAAATTGGAGGTGGCGGGTTTAAGGACACTGCCAAATCCATGGTGAAGCAAGGATTAGTATTTATGCAAGGAACATCAGTATTTATGCAAGGAACATCATCTCTAAAGGTGATAATTCAGATCCAACCTGGATACTAGTAGTAACTGACAAAAGGCTTCTTTTCTACACCATAACATTTTCATCTGCACATCTCCATGGCTTTTTCCCCCTGCAGTAATCTATTTGTTTTGTAAAGAAATCTGTAATAAAATTTGATTGAAATCCATAGATTTTTGTGGATTTCTTTAAAAAGTAAGCATGCTCTTATTTATTTTGACATTTTATATATCCTGGCTGTAAAAGTACACCTTAAATGTATTTCCTCTTTAAAGACACAAAATTAACATTGATATCTTAGTTCTGACTTTCATAGCAACATGAAAGAAATGTTGCTGAATAAACTTAAACTTTGATCTGTCTATTTGTATGTGGACCAGATCCATTTTTTTTGCTCTCAATTTCTGATACAGGAAATGGTTGGAATTTTTCAGAAATGGTTTCCTAGGCTTAAAATAATTTAACCTTTCCTTTTTTTTAGGTTGACATAGAAATCAATGGAGAGCCAGTCAATCTTCATATGAAGCTGGGTGATAATGGTGAAGCCTTTTTTGTCCAGGAATCAGAAGAACAAAAGGTGGGCTACTTACAGGGCATAAATATGCATCTAGGCATTTCTTTCAGACATACTTCTTAGTAGGCTAGACCACTGATTCTCAACCTTGGTAACTTCAAGATCTATGCAGTTCAGCTGTGTGACACCCACCTATCCCTTTTACCAAAATACCAGATTTCTCATTGATTTCTCAGATTTTGCTAGGGATTGCTCTTCACTGGGAAAACATGAGAACATCACTGCAACCTTCCCTTCTGAAATATCCACCAAGTGAATCCTCAAAGAAATATGCTCATCGTTGAACTGAGGACTTGACAGTTCATCTTTTATTTTTTTAAAAAGGATGAAATTTCAAAATAATTGTTGATGAGATGTAGTATCTTCTGCATTTTTTATTTAATCCCAAGAAACAAATATTTTAAAATCTTTTCCAAGTGTTTGTTAATAATGTAAAAAAAATATGGTTGAGGGAGAAAGTCTAGCTCCTGAAGTTGCTTTTTCCCTGACTAATTGGTAGGCATGGGGTGACACCTATCTATAGTTCTTAGTTTCCTGGATTTGTAAAATCAGAACATGTAGGTCTTCTAGTCTGCAATCCTTGGTTTTTGTTTGGTGTCAAGTTTGCAGTTTGATTTGCCTAGTGTTGAGGCTTAAACCTGACTCAATCCTGGCTGAGAAACTGATCAAATTTGTGCCATCTGTCTCCCAGGAGAGAATCCCAAGCTTCTTGTGTACATCTCCCATCCCCTCTGAGAAAAGCATAGATGCTGTGGCCAAATCTGCCAAGTTATATGGCAACTCTGATGGCTTGAGCTCAGATACAGCTGCTCGTAAGAAAAGACGGCGCAAGAAGAAGCCAAAGAAAAGAGGATCATCTGCAGATTCAACATCGGAAGAAGAAGGGACTGAGAGTGAGAAATCTCTGGAGGAGAAGCGAAAATTGTTGATTTCCAAGTAAGAGTGTTATACCAAACTGGCAGTGGTACTGCCTTGTCTTCAAAAGTTTACTGTTGCTGAGATTTTTTAAATTGCAGATGGCAGGTATTGAACTTGGAATCTTTTTTATCCAAATTTATCCCCCTTCTTACTTAGCTGCTGATCTGTTGGACCTCGTGCCCTTGTTTTACTTATAAGGCAGTCCTCTAGGTGCAACCATAATGAAACCTGCATGTTATAAGTTGTGATGTTCATAAAGCAGGTTACCCCTGTGATTAATTCAATTTTACTATCTTTTTTATTGCAAAGTGATCCAATGGTTTTCTATGGTCCAGTTTTGCTGAAAACCAGGAGTAAATACTGATTTTAGGCAAAAATGTAAAAAAAAGTTATGGGACCACAGGATGTTGCAAATGGTTATTAATGCAGGCCAGTTGTCAAGTGCCCAACAGGTGGTCACATAACTGCAGGGTGGGGCAGTCTTCAGAACTTCAGAACTGGGTCATAAGTATCAAAGTCTGTTGTAACTTAGAACAAGTAACCAGTTGTAAGTCGAAGACCATCTGTATTCAATATTTCAGTTGACATATTGAAAAAGCAAGTTAGGAGGGAAGTATGAAGCAGCTGTTAGTTCTGTGAAAGTAAATGTATAAATAAACTGGCCTGCTAACTTCCAAGAGTTTGTTTCTAGTCTGAAATCAATAAATGAATGAAAGATGTAAAAATAAACCTACCAAAATAAATAGTTCTTCTAAAATTAGGGTGGCTTCAATGGCAGTAAGATTTTTAGTTTAGTTGCTTGCCCTAAATTCAGATAGAAATGTCTTCTCTGATTTTAATTATGAAATTTACATAGCTTTATTGGAAAGGAAATCCATGGAAAACCACTGCACACTTGGTCATCTTTATAAGATGCAGATTCAATACTGGCGCTCAAAGACTATCTAATTTATGTTCAACCAAACTGAATGTAATCAGTCCTCCATATATTATGATTCCTCACAGGTTTTATGAAAATCTTTCATTTTCTACCTATTCTGATGGGAGAACAGGAAGATGGATAAAACTCTGACAATTTGAAATAACTCTCAGTTTGTATTTAATTTGCTGGATCAAACTTTCTCGAAATATATTATTGAATTTTAAGGGATTTTTGCAGATGTTCAGGTTTCAGATTACTTGGTCTTGTCTAATAAGAATTTGTGTCACGGTTGATTGTCTTTTCTATATTTCAGAATAATGAGGCACACAGGGAGAAAGGATGCTGAACTTAAGATATTTAAGCATATAGTGCTTAAAAATCTCAATTTCTCCCACAGTGTTTATGCATTTCCAATTTAATATATTCTGTTGGAATGGAATGGAATGTGCTTTGTATCTCTGGGTGACAGAGTGGCATTTCTCTAGCCTTCTGCTTTTCAAGTAGGTCTAAGCAAAATAATGCCTCAGATTTTGTGTTTTCTTTCTGAATGCAAATAAGAAGGCACACCCTCCCTATTTGTGTTATTTTCCCAATCCAAATGAATTCATGCTGATGAAATTTTAAAGATTACTCATGCACAACTTTTCAGGTGTGATCTCTGAATTTGCTGAGTGATCTTCTGAGACAAGACAAGAAGTGAGAACTGGCTCTGTGGCTATTAAAAACAAGTCTGTTCAAATTTTCATATAATTTAAAGGATCCAGAGATATATATTATTGTTTACGAGTGACATAGAAAAAAGATATAAGTCAGATAACACTTGATATGTGCTAAGAATTTGCCTTGTCCAATGAAAGCAATGCTAAGCTAATGAAACATTAGCCTTGCAAATAAGGTTTCAATAGACGGTTGGGGTTTGGGTTTTGCTTTTTGCATTTTAAATGCAAAAGGAGGTGATGGGGAACATGGCTTTTGGCTGTAGAATTCTTTCCCAGGAAAGCTTGCTTAGCATCTACTTTGAAGCTATTATAATGGCAAGAGAAACCCTTTTTAATTTTCCAGGATTTTTTCCCTTTAACATAATATATGTAGTGAGCTTTTTATTTGTTTTGGGGCTGCCTTTATATGCTATATATTTATAATTTAAAATTAAAGTCTTGTGGAAACTTGTCAAAATATGGAGCATTAAAGTGAACTTAAAGTGAACAAATGAACAAGGTTGCAGTCATGAACCGGAATTCGATCAGTTGGCAAGTTTGCCTGCCACGTCAGTCAACAAGCCTTCAAGCTTGGAGCCCAGTGAGACTTTTGTATTCTGGCAGTCAACTGACTGTAGAAATCACAGTAGCATAGTTGTTTAATTAAAGCTGAATATATTTGTACATAAGTAGCATGTTCCATTCCCAAAACACTCTGAGACATTTTGAGTGCTTGTGACAAAACTCCTCATTTAGAGTATAAGAGTCACCTGAAATGTCTAGGTCAAAATCATTTGAGACCAATACAAACATGAATATATTATTTTGCCTGGCCTTTCAGACATGCATCTTCTCTCCACTCCATCCTTCCATGATTATAAAACATCAGAAACAAGCTGGTGTGTGAATAACAGAGTTGTTTAAAATATTCCTATTTATACAAGAATATAGAAGCAATAGCAACAGAATTAATTCAGCCTTTTATGAATTACATGTGTAGTCTTATCCTGCTTAGAAAAGCAAGATCTGTTGTATATATGTATGATCCCATTTCTCATTTTTCTGATTAGTTCTCAGTTTTCCCTTTGAAAATTATTTTCATCCTGTTTTTGCATTAGTTTAAATTTCTCAGAAAAGATTCATATACATTTTTGTAACTTTAATTTTCAGGATATGAACTTCTTGAATATATTCTTCTAATAAGCACATTTTGCAAGCATGTTCTTGCAACATAATGCATTTTTATCTGGATATATTTTTGGGATATTATCATTTTTTGTTCAGAAAGTTGCGTTGAAAAATCCAGATGCAAACAAATAATTATAGCTTGGTTTACATATAGATTTCAGAAGAATAGAGTAGTTAAGCTTACATTTCTCTTTAGAAATTCACAGGGCAGTCATCAACTTACAACCATGATTGGGCCTGGAATTTTGGTCGTTAGTTGTTGTGTTAAGCAACCTTAACTGTGGCTACTCAATGTCCACAATCCCAGCTCTCCCAATTGTTTCATTAGGAACAGAGTAATGTGCAGAGGGGAATTCCTGTTCTGGGCTGAAGACACAAAGCTCAGATTCCCAAATATCCAAACTTCCCTCCATTGGTCCAATGTGGCAAGTCCCCTCCCCTCTCTGTGTTGAAGGGAATCAAGAAAGGAAGTTCAGATCTTCAGGATCCGAACTTCCTTTTCCAGTATGCTGCAGGAGCTTCCCTCCCCTCCCCTTCCTGTGTATACTAGATACCCTTCAGAAATATCGGCACTTGCCAGTTTTCTGACTAGAAAGCTAGTGAACACAATGTTATTGAAGGTTAGAAAGTCTGGAATGTGGCTTTCTAGTCTTCAGAAACATCTTGTTCACTAGCTGCCTGGCTATGTCTCGTATAAGCTTGGTGCTGTCAACAGCTGCACAAAAAGGCAAAGCTAAGAGGACTTAGGCATGGTAGTGGGGAGATGTAGGCAGGGGGCAAGAGGAGGCTTCCATGTTTGGCACAGCTTTGTCCAATAGTAGGCTGGTGGGCAGGGAGGGGGAGTTCAACTGCCCCTACAATTATAAGCAGCTGCATGCTGCCAAGTGCCCAAATTTTGATCACATGACTGCAGCTGTAAGTTCAGGCAGAGGTTTAGGTCCCTTCGTTCAGTGTCATCATGATTTTGGCAGTCATTGAACAAACAGTCATAAGTGAAAGACTACCTTTACTTATGATTTCTGTCTCCTGTGTAGTCTTCATATGGCCATTCTTCAACCATCATTTGTTTATTTAAAAGTCTAATGTAACCCACAGAGCTTCCCAGCACTGAAGCTAACTCTGATGTCACAAATCACTTGAAATATTTATACACAGTGCTCACAAGAGCTGTGGTGAAGCAGTGGTTAGAATGCAGTATTGCAGGCTAATTCTGCTGACTGCCAGGAGTTTGATTCTGACCGGCTCAAAATTGATTCAGCCTTCCATCCTTCTGAAGTTGGTAAAATGAGAACCCAGATTGCTGGGGGCAAGAGGCTGACTCTGTAAACTGCTTAGAGAGGGCTGTAAAGCACTGTGAAGTGGTATATAAGTCTAAGTGCTATTGCTATTGCTATTAAGTCAGCACAAGGCTCTGTCCTGTCAAGAACATAAAAATGCCCTGCTGAATCAGATCCCTGGCCCATCTAGCCCAGCAGTCTGTTCTCACACTAGCCAATCAATGCACAAGGAAACCCACTAGTCTCCTGGAAGATGGCATTCAGAAGCAGTTACACTGATGTCAAGGCTAATGGCTGTTGATTTCTGTGACTTCTGTGAATTGGTCCAATCCTTTTTTAAAGACAGCCATGCTGGTAGCCAGCACTGCATTTTTTGGTCTATGCAGGAGAATGTCCTATCACCATACAGGTGTCTTTTGTACCTAACTTCATTCTATCTTTCCTCATCAGTAACACACTGTACTACTCCTTTGGAGATGTCCAAAAAGAAGAAGATGGGACTCTACAACTTCAAGAAGCACATCCGTACTCTGATGGAGAGCTAGCTCCCCTGCAGAGGTAAATATAGTAGAGATCAAAGGAGCCAAACAATTCTACCTGTTTGAATATAGGGTATGACTCAGGAAATGCTATGGTTGTATTTATGGATCCAGGACCATCCCCTCTGTGTGCCATTTCGGATATGATGTATCTGCTTTTTTTTAAGAAAGAAAGAAAGAAAAATGCCAATTTCCATTGAGACACCCAAACTTTTGGACATATTTGAAGAACTCTGGATCTTGGCTAATGTAGGAATTTGGAGTCATCATGGTAGTATTAGAAGAGTTGAAATATAGCAGGTTTCTCAAACCTGGCACTCTCTGAAGAGGTTCATGACATCTGAGGGGTCTAACTGGACATTATGTTTGACATTTAACTGATGTCTAGCATATCTGGAGAGTAAATAGAGGAAGGCTATCATACTGAGCTTCCAGGGAATACATGGGCCAAAGAAGAAAAGTGATCTTGGATAACTCTCTTCCAGTTGCTTGTCTCCAATTGTATGCCTATAGAAAAGGATGTGGCCTCTTTAAGTGTCCCATAAGCTAATAGAGAAGTGATGATGATATTATATGTTTAAAATAGTAGGATTGGATCACTTTTGGCTATAATATTGATTGGGAGTGAGGAGATTCAAGTCAAAGAAAATGGTGGAAGACTTGAATAAAAAGAAAGAAAAGGATATGCACCTTCCTTAGGACAGCCTAGATAACAGGAATAAAATAGCCAGATTCTTTTTTTAATCCTTCAATTGATTTTGCTCTCTGAAGTTACTGATATTCCTAAACTTCTCTTTCCTGATCTATTACATCAGCTCTTATGATGATTTCTTGATTGTGCTGATTTCTATCATGCATTTATCTACAATAGGTTTGATCACCAGTGTTCTCTGCTGTCAGTACTAAAAAGTGTTCTGATTTATCTCCCTTCCCCAGCCTTTCTCCAAGTTGTTCATCTGCTCCAAAAAGCGACTCTGAATTGGAGATCAGAAATCCTGAACTACCTCTTGGATCTGAATCCCAACTACAATGGTCCTGGGGAAGACTGCCAGAGGTGTGTATAGATGAAGGAAGATCTCTGGGATGCATAGCTTCATGTCTTATATATGAATAGATGCAAAAATGTTTTCTATTATTATCATAATTATACGTGTGCTTGGTACCGCTTTTATGGTCCTTATAACAGGATAGTCTAAATATATATCTAATATTTCAGAGGGGTGAAGACAGGAATTGAAATACACAAATAAATGGACAAGGTAGGCAGATGTATCCCACAGCAGGGTTTTCATATTTTCCTGGGGAGAGGGAATAGATGGATGGATGGATGGATGTAATAGACTTTTATGCCATCCCAATCTGTAATTGGTTTACAGACCTACCTGAAGGGGTGGTAGCAATAGCACTTACACTTATATACCGCTTCACAGTGCTTTACAGCCCTCTCTAAGTGATTTACAGAGTCATCATATTGCCCCCAACAATCTGGGTCCTCATTTTATTGACCTCAGAAGGATGGGAGGCGGAGTCAACCTTGAGCCCAGTGAGGCTCGAACTGCAAAAGTAGCCCGCAGTGCTGCATTCTAACCACTGTGTCACCAGGGCTCTATAGAAATATATGGTATCTATAGAAAGTCCAGTTTTCTAATTCTTAGTGGTTGGGCAGAAACCACTAGAAATAAGTGGTCTTTCAGTCAATCAGTACTATGATTGAGGTATTTAAGGTTTATAATACAATTTTCGAATTGTCCTTGCTTCAGAATTGCAAAATGTTTCAGCAACTATCACTCAACAAAGATCAATGAGACCAGAAGTTTGGAATCTGTTGTGACTCAGACTGTGTATTTTTGATTTATATCAACATATCATAAATTGACAAATAATTGTAAGTGAAAGTAATTTAAATCAAAGGGCCTGATTTTATGAAGATATTTATCTCTTTTTATATAAAACAAGATATATCAAGAAAGTCTTAATTATATTTAATGTTTTAATATTAAAAATTAAAATTAATTTTAAAATAAAAAAATAAATAAAAAGTTATTTCATTTCTTTGCATTGTTTTAACATTCTGGAATCTTGGTTTGAATTCCAGTAAAATTATTCATTTGGCAGTAGTATCTTGTATACATGTGCTTGCATGGTGTAATAATAAACACCTGTAGGGTTAGAAGAAAAAAAAAACAATTATGTCCCCAAAATCATTTTGTTTTGTCTCTTTTGTGAGCTGTTTCACAAGACTTTTTCCTTTTCAAGATGAGCAAATCAGACCGGGTAGAAGCAATCAAACCTGTCTCAAATGTTTCTGCAACAGCAGCCAATGAACCAACTACTGTTACCCCTATGGACAAGACAACTCACTTTGTGGCTATTACAGCTGGCTTAGAAAGTGACCTGGGAACAGCTGATTCTGATAATACAGCATCTTCTCCCATAATTAAGCCAACCCCGGTTTTTCCTTCTGGAAATGGACTTCTGGGAGATGAAGACCCCTGTCCTTCCATTTGCATGGCTGGAAATCAAGTGGATACTGATCACGGACTTCCAGGAGATATACAAGTAACAGCAGCAATTGTAGAAGATGACAGATCAAATTCTATCAAGGAGACCGATGTGCAGACTACATATCCAGATTTGGAAGTGGCTTCTTTGAAGAAACCTTTGTCAAACATAGAACCCTGCAGTGATTCAGAGGTGAACCTGGAGAAGAGAAGGAGTAAGTGGAGATGGAAAGCTACTACAGTATAGTTGAGGGGTCTGTCAACAAAGTGTAAAGTGCATCCTCAAACTCTAACAGGAATGTTTCTTTTTGCTACATTAATCAACCTGGAACGGAGCCTTCCAAATGTACTTGGAACTCAGAATCTTTTCCCATTCTCCTGAAGAATCTTGAACATTATTTATACTTTGAGGATAGGGGAAGATGTTCTGTTTTTAATCTTCTTCAATACTGTATATTCTATCCTTCCCAACCCTTTCCCATACCCACTTATAGAAACCATAGAGACTCCTAAATCAAGTGCAGGTAGTCCTTTACCTACAATAATTTATTTAGCAATTATTCTAGAATAGAATAGAATAGAATAGAATAGAATAGAGCTGGAAGGGGCCTTGGAGGTCTTCTAGTCCAGACCTCTGCTCAAGCAGGAGAACCTATACCATCTCAGACAGGTGATTGTCTAGTCTCATCTTAAAAATCTCCAGTGATGGAGCGCCCACGATTTTTGGGGGCAACCTGTTCCACTGGTTGATTGTCCTCACTGTCAGGAAGTTTCTCCTTAATTCTAGGTTGCTTCTCTTTTGATCAGATATTAGAATGACCCTGAAAAAAATGACTTATAACCATCACAATATCCCCATGGTCACATGATCAAAATTCAGCCATTTGGCAACCAGCAAATATTTATGACAGTTAACAGCATCCTGTAGGTCATGTGATCACCATTTGTAACTTTCCCAGCTGGTTTGTAACAAGGAAAGTCAATTGGAGAAGCCAGATTTGCTTTTAATGATCACATGATGGACTTAACAACTGCAGCAATTTGCTTAAGAACTATGGCAAAAAAGTAAAATGGGGCACAACTCCCTTGCTTAGCAATAAAAATTCTAGTCCCAATTGTGGTTGTAAGTTGAGAACTATCTGTACTTGCAAAAGGTCTGTTTAACATTTTGTATTCATAAAAAAAGAGCCCCCAAATGGGAATGCCACTTTAGAATATTCAGTCTGAATTCAGAAGTCTATTTTGCAGACAATGAGACAGGTGACTTTATAATGTCCATGTTTCTGGTTATTAAAGGAGAAAAGGAGATTGATTACAATAATATTTATGCAGTTTTCTTGTCAGACTGTATACAACTTACAGTATTGAAACCAATAAATGTATAACAAATACCAAAGAAAACAAAATCAGTTGTTGACTTTGAGTTAAAATTATTTGTTCCTAAATGCTCTGTAGAAGAGGATTGCTTTTACCTATTTTCCAAAGGATAAAAGAGTGGGGGATAACCTGACCTTGGGCAATGTGTCATCACATAAAATACTAACCATTTTGTATTAACCCAGTCATCAGAAATTGAAGCCACCTTGATAGCACCTTACTAACTAAATTCTTGATATTCTATGAAATTGTTCTATAGATTTTTCCCCCAAAAAATAATTTACTAATCTCTATAGTATATAGGTATTCACTGAGGGGTTTTTTTGGGGGGGGGGGCGGGTGGACTTTTCATTATTAGGGTGAATGGTTACAGAAATGTCTGTAGAAAAACAGTTTCTTCATTAAATTATCAGGGCCATTGTAATCATTTCTTAATCTCTTTGAGGTTCCATAAAGAAAAACCCTCATCTGGGACCTAGTGATATTTATTTAGACGATCTTTCAAACTTGGATGCGGAGCAATTAGCACTTTATTTCCCCAAGAGGTATGACTATTGTTTCTGCTTTCTTTGGAAAAACTATAAATGAGAAATTAGAATTATTGAATTCAAGTTACAGTAGGAAGGGACCTTGAATGTCTTGACTAAAGCAAAATGCAGGAATTTAATTATGACCAAAGGTCACTTAACCTCTGTTTAAAATTATTCATCAAAAGGAAGTCCATGATATACCAAAATAGCAAGTTTCATTGTGGAAGAGTTTATGACAAAGTTTCTTCTAATCTTCAATTTAAGCCATAGTCTAAAGAATGTAATTGTATTTACTAGAGATGTTTTTTTTTTCCCTTTCTCTTCCCTACTTCTGAATATTAGCAGATTTTATCAAAGCCCTTAAAAGACTTTGAACAGGATAGTTTGTCCTGATTCAAAAATAATTACAATCTGCCAATAGTCATGTACAATGGCCAACTTCAGAAGCCTTGCAACTAATAGTTTGGGTTCTTAGTACCTTACTACCACATTAGAGAAGAGAAAATATGAATTCCATAAGTCCATAACACAAGTATAAGGCATAAAACTATGATTTATGTGCAGACTGTTTCAGTAAATGTGAGATAAGATGTCTATATTCAGGCTGATTAACATTAATCCAATACAAGTAAGATGACATTTTATACGTGTGTGTTTATAAATAAATAAATAAATAAATAAAGCAAAAATAAGGAAACTTGTGATTTTTTTCAAAAATTGCAGGACTCAAATTTCTACCAATCCAAGGGCTGTGGATAATGATTAGAGATAAGTTGGAGTCCAAGGGCCATAGATTCCTTACCAGAATTTAAGAGATAAAGCCATAATTTAAAAGATAAAGTCATAATTTAAAAGATAGAGTCATAATTTAACCACTCTGAAGAACTTTCTATAGTATGCAAATCACTTCTCCCAACTCTTACTGTAACAGATAATCCAGACATGAGAATAAAAAGGAACTTTCCTCAGATAAGTAAAACATGCCATAATTTTTCTTGCCTTACAGAAATAATAGGGATTCACGTGGTATATTGTTGTTGTTCAACAACAATAATAATAACACCTATACCATACTATTATTATTTGGTTTTCAGTGATGCTGAACTGAATTGGCCACGAGCACAATCTGACCCTGGAATCTGCTCTCATTCCCATGTACTGGGTGATACAATTGCTGACAGCAATGCAGACATTCTGCTGGAACCCATAGAACATAGCCCCATTCACTTGTCTCTCTGTGGAGGTCTTGGGGATGATGGAGAATTAACTCATGGTATGTTTAGAAGCAAAGGATAGAATGCGATTTGGTACTGTAAGAGTTTTTATAAAGACCTGACTTTGAGTTGGCATTCTACAGTACTATTTGATAAAGTTGTTCTATTTGTTGGGTGGGAAAAATAATATCCAGTTATAGGATAAATTAGGAGACAATTATCTACCGAAGAGCTCCTTTTTGAGGGAGATGGGCAGTTTAGAAATATGAAATATAAATATATTGCCTTCCATTTTAGCAGAGAAGTTTATGAAGCATATAGTGTCCTATCAGGAGTTTGCAGAGAACCCAGCAATTCTTGAAGACCCAAATTTGGTAATACAGATCCAAAAGAAGTGAGTAGGAATGCCATTTTCATTTGTGGTATGTGTGTTCCCCAAAGGAGCTTTGTGTAGCCATGTACATGTATGCATGAGTGAATTCTAGTTGTATTCTGAGAGAATAATGATATTCTTGGCTCTCCTTAAAGCTTGCTTTGCTGAGTTAGTGAATTTTGTACGAAGGTGGAACTTGCATTCCCCTCTTATGTGTTCTGGCTCCCAATTATTTCCCCACCCCAAAAGACTTAAATTTGAGAATAGAAGCTCATACACTTTCATAAACTGAATTCAGCAACCATGACAGCAGAAAATATATTGTAGCTGGAATTGACTTGTCATGGACTGGACTGCAAATGTTATTATAGGCTTCCTTCTAGAGGTTAGCTAAGAAATCAGATTTAGATTTTTATGAAAACATATAATGAAACCTATTTCAGTTGTATGTTTATGAAACACACACACACACATACCTGCATATTTATAGTATGCTTCAGCTGCCTGTCACAAATATCTCAGATACTTCATGAAACAATGAGATTTAGTTGAATCTGGCTGGGTTGAAACATTGAGCTTTGCCATTGGTTTGTGCTGTTGTTATGGTGTAATGTGCTTAAGCAAATAATTTGGTTCAGTGCTTACACATCTACATATATCCATCCATTTGTACTGCAACATCTTTCAGTTCTGTAGTCTTGATGATCCTTTTCTATTACTTTGCTTTCAGGCTCATACTGATATATATATATATATATATATATATATATATATATATATATATATATATATATATATTCTGAGGTTTTCGCGGGTATTTGTATTTAGGTCTTTGGTTGTTCGGGTTTTCTCCCACGTAAAATTGGAAGTGTCTTGGCGATGTTTCATCGAACGTCGCCAAGACACTTCCAATTTTACGCGGGAGAAAACCCGAACAACCAAAGACCTACATATATATATATATATATATATATATATATATATATTATATTATATATATAACCATGATAAAGCACGTTCACCAGGAGAGTTTTAAGTACAAATACTATAATGTGCCCGGGAGTCAACATTTTCACCCATCATTATTGATTTTCACCATCATTATTGAATATATATATATTATATATATATATATATATATATATATATATATATATATATATATATATATATATATATATATATATTTTGTTCCCCTCTCTAATTGTAGATACTACAATTGGGCAGTTGCAGCTCCTATGGTTCTCTCACTACAGGCATTCCAAAAGAATCTCCCCAAAGTAAGTTAATATGAATTTGTGTTTAATAATAAAGTATAATTTCCTATTTAGGTTTTTATGTTTCACCATTTAAAGAGTTCTGTAATTTAGATTCTTAACCTCTAGGACAGTGGTTCTCAACCTTCCTAATGCCATAACCCTTTAATACAGTTCCTCATGTTGTTCCTCATCCAGCTGGTGGGGGAGGGGAGGCAGGAAGGCCGCTCCACCGGCTCTGCCCAGCCTGGTTGGAGAAGTGCCAGGTGGGGAGAGGGAGGGAGGGAGGGAGGGAGGGAGAGAGAGAGAGAGAGAGAGAGAGAGAGAGAGAGAGAGAGAGAGAGAGAGAGAGCGCCAAGAGGGCGACAACGCTGGCAGAGCTTAGTTCTCTCTCTTTCTCTTTTCCTCTGTTTCTCTCTTTTCTCTCTCTCTCTCTCTTTCTCTTTCCTCTTTCTTTCCTCTCTTTCTCTCTCTTTCCTCTTTCTCTCTCTCTTTCTCTGTTTCCTCTCTCTTTCTGTTTCCTCCCTCTTTCTCTTTCTCTCTCTTTTTCTTTCTCTTTCTCTTTCTCTTTTTCCTCTCTCTTTTCCTGTTTCTCTCTCTTTCCTCTCTCTCTTTCTCTCTCTCTCTTACAGCAGCTTGCCTCCACCACGTCCTCAGCCAAATGGGCAGGGAGGGGGAGCAGGACAGGACGCAGCGGTGGCACAGCTGAATTGTCAGGGGTTCCTGCTGCCCCTGGCCTGGCTTCCACCCCCGTCGGGACTCTGCACTGCCCGGCCTCGCCCTCCGCCCATCGATGGAGTTGCAGTGGGGACAGCACCTACCTGAGCCACCTGGGGGGCAGCAGGAGGAAGAAGGAGAGCAGGAGTGCGAAGAAGCAGCTGCCCCAGTTGGGACTCCGTGCTGCCCGCCCTCGCCCTCCGCTCATCCGATGGAGCCACGGTGGGGGCTGGTGCTGTGTGGCCCCTGCCAGCCCCTCCATCAGCCTGGCTGCTCTCCCCAGGCACCCCTCTTGTCCCAGTGCCCCCCATGTCACCTGGGGGGCAGCAGGAGGAAGAAGGGGAGGAGGAAGAGGAGGGCAAGGAGATAGAGGAGCGGTGTCTCGGTTCCTAAGACCATCGGAAATATGTGTTTTCCGATGGTCTTAGGCGACTCCTGTGCAAGGGTCGTTCGGCCCCCAAAAGGGTCGCGACCCACAGGTTGAGAACTGCTGCTCTAGGAAGATAAACAATTTTTACCCTAATAAACTAATTGGTATTATCTGTCCAAATGATCAGACTAATTAATCAGGCCTACTGAGAAGAAAACCTTTTATCCAAAGTGTCTTAATGCTTTTGAATGCTATTACAGGAATCCTTTATTAAGATCATCTTCTTTCTGTATGGGTTTTATGAATCCTAGTTCTCACATTTCCAGAGAATGATAATCACACATGTAAGATGAATTTTAAAAAATGACAATTTACTTGGCCAATTAGGTGCTTATATTTTATGGACATGCTGTCAATTTTCTGTTCAAATATTAGATGCTATGATTGGAAGTTATATTCCATTTTCCATATTCCACTACCAATCCAAATTTAACCACATATTGTGTACTCCTATAAGTACTTAAATTTAATATGACATTATAGCTTACTATGAGATTATGATAGCTATATATTTTGGAAATATAATTAGCTCAGTTGTAAAATGCAGTCTGTTATCTGAATATTGTCCCTTTAATTTTCAAATTAGATGGCTAAACTACTTAACAGAAGAAAAACATACCGTATATAAAACTGTATTAATGATATATCTTCAAAATTAATAATCATGAAAATAATAGTAAAAAGTGAGGAAAAGGTTGATGGAGGGAAACCTAATAATATTATGTGATAAGTAGACCAGCTTCCGAGAATTCGATGATAATGCTCAAAGTATTCTTTCATGTTCCTTGTTAACATATGAATTAGGTTTATTCCTCAAATAAAACATATTCTTATGTTAACAAGGAATATGAAAGAATACTTTGAGCATTATCATCAAATTCTGGGAAGCTGGTCTACTTATTACATAATTTTATTAGGTTTCCCTCCATCAACTTTTTCCTCACTTTCTACTATTATTTTCATATATAAAAAGTATGACAGAATTGCATAATCCAGGAGGGTAAATAGAACTTTTAGTTATCTGTAATCATCTATGGTAAGATGACTGAAGAAGTAGGATGTTCTGTGTTTACCTTCAGGAACTACTTCTGAGGAAAATTGCTCTACGGTCAGATTCTTGGCAATTAATATTTAAGAATACTTCCTCTTTCAGTTAGGAGACAGCCCAGTATAATAGATTCTACACTGTAGAGTCTGCTGCCTCTTAGCAAGTTATCAGTTTGGAAAACTGACTTCAATGTGGGAAAATATCTAACCTTAGCTCTCCACATACAACTTAAGCAGGCCTTACTACTTTACTTCAAAATATATGCCTCCTTCTTAAGTAAATGACTTATTTCCGCCACAGAATAGGGTCTTAAGCTACTGTATGCAAACAAGGAACAAATCTCATACTTACTAGCATTGATATTACCTAGTCTGTTAATCAAACATCTGCAAGCAAACAACCAAGCTGAGAGAGCACCAAGGACTCCACAGAATAGACTTTGTACTGTAGTCCAGTGTCAGCCTTCATTGGCATGCTGTTCTTCCTTGAAGCTTGAAAGCCTCTTATGACTTTCCTTTTTTTTTTTTTGCTGTCCTGAATTTCTTAACACTGTTGAATCAATTTCAGTAAGACTCATATCCTTCTGTGACATCTTAATCTTGGGAACATTGAAAGTTGTGGGCTGGTTGATTCATTTTTGAATTAGATATTTGGTATTGACATGTTTGGAGATTAGAGCTTATCCAACAATTGTGGACTATTACTATTCTTAATTAAGATTGTAAGAGCTGCTTTTTGGATTCAGTCCAAGTTACCACAGCATTTTTTCATCTTTGTTGTGGTTTCAGAATACTGTTGATAGATTAATGAAAGAGAAGATGCCCAAGAAAGTTGGAAGATGGTGGTTTTCTTGGAGGCGAAAAGAGGTACACATATTGCAATATGGAAAGGAAACATCCCTCTATGATGTCCAGAACAAAATGTTGCAGTTGAAATGGACTTTTGTCAGGTGTACTCAGTCCTAATGAAATTAGGTACTAGCACAGTGATGGTGAAACCTTTAGAGACTGAGTGCCCAAACTGCAACCCAAAACCCACTTATGCATCATTGAGTGCCGGGTGGGTGTGGCCCATTGGCTGGGTGTGGCTAATTGGGTGGGCATGGCCCACTGGGTGGGCATACCTGTGGTGGTAATGGCAGACTGGATAGGACTAAAAAGTTCAATCAATCAATTCCAACTTTGCAAGATCTTTTTTTTTCCCTGCGAGAAGTTGAAATTGACTGATTGAACCTTTTTTTTTTTTGCACACGGCGGTGGAGGCCTAAAGTGAAAAGGTTTTATAAAATCTAGCTGAAGGACTGGGACAATGGCACACGTGCCCACAGAGAGGGCTCTGAGTGCCGCCTCTGGCACCCTTGCCATAGGTTCGCCACCACTGTACTAGTACATCTCTCCTTTTATAGACATGGCCAAATCTAGTATCTTTGTATCCAATCCTTTGTAGCAGAGATGAGTTCCTTAATTTAATGAAGTCTTCTGTAACATGGTAGGTTTCCCATTCTGACTGGGAAATCTGGGATGTGTTATTCCAACTTATCTAGGTAACATCAAATGGGAGAAAGATGATTTAATGCTTGAATGGATATTTAAGGAACATTAACTAAAGATATTTTTATGTATCTGTAGCATGAAATCAGTGTCAGGAAGTCCAACAAAGTAGGCAATAATCAGGAGGACACTTCTCTTCAGATGTAAGTTGTGATTTATTGATATTATATGGAATTTGGCATAACTAAAGGCATGGCTGTATTTTCAATAAATAATTATAGTGGAGATTTAATAGTTTTGATTAAAATGTCAACTCACCATGACAAATAATATTCACTAGTACAAATCCACATTTAAAACTTACCTTAACAATTTGGAAAAAATAATTAGCCCTCTTTCCCCTCTCATCCCATTCCTTGACCAGAATTTTATTTTAAATATGAGAATTAATTTGTTGATTATAAGAAATAGAGAGAAGAATTTACTGGAGTAGAGATTTAATTATCGACCCGGAATCTATAGCTGAATATATTGTGTAAAAATAAAATAACACAAATAAAACAAGTTGAAATCTTTCTACTTAGGTTTACCAGATGCTAACTAATAGTTATTATTATTAACAATAATGAAAAATGCTGTGCATCTAATTCACTTAAAATCAGAACTCTAGGTAGAAGATAAGGGAATAGCCATCTTGCTCAAACTGCAGTTGATGCCTTTAAAAGAACACTGCATTTGCATACTTCATTTTCTAATAAGTTTTTGAAATTGCTTATTAAGTGTTTTTCAGCTATTCGGAACCTTTGGATCAACAAGTTTTATAGCATCATATGAGTTTTCTTCTATCCTTAGCAAAAAAAGAAAATGCAAGTTTAAAGACTTAAAAAAATCTTTTAGAATAAACAGCAAATTGATGATTACAGTTTTGATTTTGAAAAGTTATAAATAGACTAAACCTCCAGATGGATTTGAAATAAGATTTTTGAATTAATTATAAAAACCCTTCCCATAAAAAAATGCTTTTGTTTTAAATTCTCCTAAAATGATAGTTTAAGACTTTGAAGATTGGACACTAGAGGGAACTAGAAGGAACTAAAGACTATAATTAAAGAAGAAAAATTGACTTCCTAATACACAATAAGCAAAATATCTTAACACTGGACATGCTGAAGGATATTTTTGAACAATGGATCCAGAAGTTAATTTTAAGAGTGTCAGCCTCTATATATATTTCTGTTATGGAAGAAAAACAAATTTAACCAGACAAGACTGAGGCTGATATGAAAATGGATTTAAAAATGACAGGCTACAAGAATGATATGGAAAAAGATGCTAGATTGGACATACAAAAGAACTCGGCAGATATCTGAATCTGGCATAAATGAAAAACCAACAGGGTGACTGGATAATTTTTCTATACTGAATTTAACAGTATGTTAAAACTTAGCATAATTTTGTGAGAAGGGAAAAAATGAAAATAAATCAAATCTACAACATTATTTAAAAAGACTAAAGATCAAGATTATTAGAAGTTGGTTTATTTGATCAAGGTTAAAATAGATACGTTGCTATCTCTAGTCTAATCATTAAGTTTGGCCATAATGGAGTTTTGCTGATATCTGGACTGAAGTGACAATGTTTTATGGATTTCTTTATAGATAAACAGGAAATGGGAAGAAGAGAACATTTGTTGTATGTTAAGAGAATGTTTATCTTGGTGTGCAGAGTTGGGAGCCATTCTGTTGATTTCTGTTACTCCCTCTTAGACCTGCCAATCTTTGGAGGATTAGAGTTGCCATGGAACTATGTCATAGTATTTTGCATTGAATGATCTAAAGATGTTTGGATGAGGTAGTTCATAAGTGGTAAAATAAATACATTTGGCAAGATATCAGTTGTGATAACAATTTAGGTGATAACCCTTATTCCTTTAAAAATCATAAGTACTGTATAGGATTTATTTCCTGAATGAGTATTATTTCACATCATGGGACCTGAGCCATATTTCTTGGCCCTTACTCTCTTTTATGTTGACAATTTATTTTGATCTTGTGAACCATAGGATACAAAACGATTCCTCCAGTGATGATGATGATGATGTATCATCCCATCAAGGAGACAGATCCATGCCAGATGTTATCACACAGAAATTTCTTCCAACCTACAAGAAGTCCTTAAGACTCTCCTCTGATCAAATTGTATGTAGTTTTGAATATTCTTTTCTATATATTCCTTTTTGACTCAGAAGAGAACTTTCTGTTCAGGAAGGGGCTGCCAAAACACACTACCTAATTGGCTTTCCTCTTAGGTGGACTTCACAGTTACTGTTCAAACCTCTCAGTTATGAGTTGCATGTTGGGAAAAAAAAAAGCCCAGACTTGGCCCTCAAAGTTAAGAAATGTTGGGGCAAATTTGGAAGTGTAGTTGAAAATATGAGTAGGTGATGAAGTTTTGTGGGCCAAATTTTTCCTCTGTTAACTGATCATTAATAATTATTTTCCAAGATGGTATACAGTATTATTATTTATTTATTCATAAAATGTACATTCTTTTTTTGTTCCAAGAAACTAAAGGAATATTTGTAACTCTTTCTTCCAATTTTTCTCTATTCCTGGAAGTTGCTTGACTAGAGAGAAAGTGACTGGGCCAAAGTCAAGTCATTAGGGAGCTTCCATAACTGCATCTCCCTAGTTCTGCCCTAACTACTACCTCACACCAGTTCACCTGTAGGTAAAACATTGAACTGAGATCACTGAAATCCAGGTGTAAGTCCTCAATCAATTATGGAGCTCAATAGGGACCTCTGAGCCAGACACTTTCTCTTAACCTAATGCATCATGCAGATAAAATAAATGATGACTCCAGGTAAATCACCTTGAGATCTTAAAGGATGGGGAGAATATCAGTGAAGTAAAGAATAAAATAATTTAGGCATGTACAATTTGGGGCCATAGCTGAATGGCAAGTTTGACCACAACCAAAACAAGCAAGAGCAAATTTGAATTTGATTGAAATAGAATTAAAAATAATAGTTAAAATTAACATTCAATATTCATTTTGTAATATTCTGAAGGCTCCATTCAGTGCTTTGGAAATAGGACATGAGTACTACAATGTTAGATTTGGAAGTAGTTATCCATCTCTACTTTTTAAAAGGTCAAACTAAAAGAAATGTCTATTTCTATTTTGAAATTCACAGTTTGTTAAGAAAAGATAATATATACCAAAGTCTTTCTCAAGATGAACCATTTTGTTTAATCGGTTTTCAGTGAAAAGTAGATAGTCTCTACTACAAAACTATTTGTCCAAATATGAGCATCAAATTCTTTTTTTTCTTTTTATATGAGCATCAATTTCAATTGGGAATTATTTTAATATAAACATCAAGATAGTTTAAAATCCTAATTTCAATTGAATTGTGACCTTGCAAATTACTGACAAATTTTTGAGCAACAAAGAAGACTCTTTGATGTAATAGTCTCAATTTTCCAAATAGTTTAAAGGATTTGCAAACATTTGAGAGAATCAAAATTAGGGTGGACATATGAGTTGCTACATTTTGTCTGATAGCTTGGAGAACACAGAAAGAAGAGTGTTCACATTTGTGTTCACATTTATTTGAAAACAAATTACTGAATTCTGTGGCATTTCTAAATAGCAACTGATTAGGATGTATAACTAACAAAACAGTTCTGAGAAATATCATGTTCTAAATAAATATGTTGTAATTGTCTGCCTCTTTTTCCTCTTCTTTTGTTGTAGAAAAAGCTGAACCTGAAGGATGGCCCCAATGAGGTTGTGTTTAGTGTGACCACTCAGTACCAGGGCACATGTCGTTGTGAAGCTACCATTTATTTATGGAATTGGTATGACAAGGTGGTGATCTCTGACATTGATGGCACCATCACCAGGTAGATTCCCACTGGCAATGCTTCCTATAATACTTGACTGTGGATTCTTCCATGCCACCATTATTTCCTCTTGCCATCTCCCCAAAGGAGTTTAAAATTGATCTGTAGTTGTCTACACTTTTGCCAGCCTTGCCAAGCTTGTAGAGAATGTGCAGAAATCACTCTGAGTCAACCAATTACTTAATCTATGATCTAACTCAGGGGTGTCAAACTCGCAACGTCACGTGACATGTTGCGACCTATTGCGACTTTTTTCCCATTGGTTTTGGCATGACACATCCGGCCTGCAGGCCAGCTGGGCAGTTTGACACCCCTGATCTAACTGAACTGCAGATGGTGATGAATTTTTTTTAAAAAAATCCCTTGTTCCCCCAACTTCACAGTTTACAAAAGACATGTGAATGGTTGCTATCAGGGGAAGCTTTCAACTATAATGCATGCTTTCCTCAGGCATTTAACAATTTCTTTATGATGGTGAAAGGATAGCATACTAGCAATTTTGCAACTGAGCAACCACTGTAAATGTGGTTGCCAATGATGGCAATTTCTAGAGTGGGAGAAAGAAGTAGATACATCTCACCCATGCCTGCAGAAAAACAACAGGAAGAGGATGCCAGTGTTACTCATCCTTGACAACTTTAAGATGCTAGCTGGAGAATTCTGGAAATTGAAGTCCATTCATCTTAAAGTTGCCAAGATTGAGAAATGTTGCTCTAGCCAATGGAAGGAGAGAGATAGCAATAGACGTCATGAATCCTCCTGGGGCACAGCAAGTATTGCAGAGAATATTAGACTGGCATAGGGATTTATGCAAGTTAAACAAAAATAAAAAAAAAACAAAAGTCCAACCTATATGTAATCCAAATTCAGAACTTGGGTTTGGCTAGTTTAAAGAAAAGAAGAAACAGAGGTGACATGATAGCAGTATTCCAGTATTTGAGGGGCTGCCACAAAGAAGAGGGCATCAAACTATTCTCCAAAGCACTAGAGGGTAGGACAAAAAACAATGGCTGGAAACTGACCAAAGAGAGAAGCAACCTGGAATTAAGGAGAAACATCCTAACAGTGAGGAAAATTAACCAGTGGAAAAGCTTGCCTCCAGAAATCATGGATGCTCCATCACTGGAGGTTTTCAAGAGTTGTCTGAAATGATATAGGTTCTCCTGCTTGAACAGGAGGCTGGACTAGAAGACCTCCAAGATCTCTTCCAGCTTCTATTCTGTTCTATTCTCTACTCTACTCTACTCTACTCTACTCTACTCTACTCTACTCTACTCTACTCTACTCTACTCTACTCTACTCTACTCTACTCTACTCTACTCTACTCTACTCAGCTTATATGGACTAAGCAGCTTCTGCAGCTTCTGTGGTCATTTTGGGAAAAAACAGAAACAAGCTTGCTTGCTTATGCTCTTAGAGGGCTGAAAACAAAAACAAAACCACTCCTGTCAGAACAAGTTATCTTGAAACATGTCACTGCATGTCCAATTATGAATATTCTGCTATCACCCTTGCTTCACTTATAGGACAACTTGCAGCCACATTGTGCAGAGTTCATCATATACATTTTTTTTCTCATCAGGTCTGATGCCCTAGGGCATATCTTGCCACATCTTGGGAAAGATTGGACTCACCAAGGCATCGCTAAGCTCTTCCATAAAATCCATCTGTATGTATTAGTAGTCCAGAGATATGAAGATAATGTTATAGTTCATATACAACAACAGCTCTATTAACTTGCTGATTCTTTTAAAATATTAGATCCTAATTCCTTCTTCCAAAGCAGGTCAAGCTAGCTCTCTTTTTGTTACTCATATGCCAGCAAGCAGAATGTTTTTAGATAGGCTGTAATATAAGCTGACTGCTGATGATTTGTGATGCATATTTCATGAAATATTGTTTTCTTTTGTTGTTTTTGAAAGTTTGTTATTTAAAGTTAAAATAATCTTCTTGAATACTAGCCATTGAAAATCCTGCATCTGCCTACCTTAATCAATTATGTACTCTTAAGTCAGAGTTTCCCAACCTTTCTGGTTTTGCACACCGGAGGGGATTCTTCCGTGCAAGCAGCCAGCAAGTAAGTGCATGCAACTCCATTTGGGCAAGCGGCATGCACATGTGCCCGCTCCTCACCCAAATGCAGCCTGCGTGCACATGCTCACCCACTGCTCATGGGCATGTGTGTGCTTGCTCACCCGCTGTTCCCATGGCCCGGTTGCAAATAGTTCACAGTCCACTACTGGACCGCTGCCCAGCATTTGGGGAACCCTGCTCTAAGTCACTGGAAGGCCTTATATTCCTTTCTTAAGGATGCAATGTACTAAAATTGTTACCATGTTAATTTTTTGTAGCAAATACGGAGAAATGGCTATTTCTGCCAATAACTTGGGGTTGTCCTTGATGCTCTCTGAGCTTGGTTGTTTGCGTGCAGATGCTTTATCACACAATTTGGTAACATCATCAGTGCCAGCATCATCAGTTATCATCAGCTCTGATAATGTTAACTGGTCAAGTAATTAAAATTTTGCAAGCAAACAACCAAGCTCAGAGAGCACCAAAGACTCCATGGTTGTTTCTTATTTAAGATTCTCAAAGAATTGAAATCCTTGAGATTCTCTGCTAACACAACTGCCTAGGAACATGTCAAGTGTAAAATGATACCTATTTTAGACAATGCTTCTAGCTCATAGGAAATTATTTCTATCTCATTCTGGCTTCCTAAGATATGATTTGATATTTTTGATGTTCTTCTCCCCTGTCCTAATCTCCTTCTTGAACTTCATAATAAAGATCTCTATGTTAATTTTTGTATTAGTGTTTTCAAACAAAGGCTAGTCTACCTCTTATTGGGAATTTTACATGAGCTAGAAGTTACCTATTCTATACTAAGTCATTGGTAGTTCCAGATTCTCAATACTGATGATTTCTTAGGTGAATGGGAATTAGTCATGGGAAGTACATTTTTGTCTTTATGCAGAATTAAAATATGTGCAAAGCAAATTAACAAGGAAAAATGTAATGAACTGACATTCAACTAAAATATAAAATTGCTATATAGAAAAAGGAATAAGCATCATAAGAAACTTATAGTACGAATAAAGATAGGATGGTCAATATTTGGCCTAAGCTATTAAAACTGCATTCCATAACAACATTTGTTGCTATTCAGTTATTTAGGAAACATTGTCCTGAAGATATTGCTTTTGGTATCAACTACCTGATTAACCTAACCTAGACTGCAACATTTTGCTGATTTGAGCAAATCCCCACAAAATCAAATAGGGTTGGACCTGGTTAGTACTTGGCTGGGAGGTCACCAGGAAATACCAACCCTTCAACTGTGACATTGAAAAAAAAAAGCAAAATAATTATGACAAACCATTTCTATATAGCCCCAAACTATATGTCCAAAGATTCTCCAGGAGTTGAGTTTAACCTGAAGGAGTCTTTGCCTGTATAAATGTGACATAGAATATTGTCTTCATAGTAATTCTTTCACTTATTCCTTATTACTTTATTAACCTATAGTGACACTGAGGTGTGAAACCATATTTGATTGGCAACACTATATCTATTATATGATCCCAGATTTGTTGGGATTTTGCAGGGGATAAGCGACAGTGGCCTAATGCTGAACAGAAAAGAACACTGATTAGGAAAATAATCATTTGAAAGAGCAAATACATTTGTTGTGGAGAGGTCTTTGAGAAATGCTCTAAATATATTACTTTGTTCTATTACTTTCAAATGTGTGTCCCTTTGACCCAGTTGTAAGAGCTGATCGGGAACAAGAGCTGTTGTGCCATTCCTGCTGGAGGGGGAGATCAGATGAGGGGGTTGTTAAGCAAAATGGTTTCATTCCATTTGATATCGTCTCCATTCTAGCAACGGATACAGGTTTCTCTATTGTTCAGCCAGAGCTATTGGCATGGCACACATCACCAAAGGATATTTAGAATGTGTCAATGATAAAGGTTGGATGCTCCCCAAAGGACCTATCCTGCTGGCACCTAGCAGCCTTTTCTCGGCATTTCATAGGTAAGTATTTCCATGTAATGGTAGAGGGTGGTGTCTTAATTTGTGTGAGCATTGTTTTATTGCTTTCTTCAGAGATCATAGAAATGCTCAAGGATGTGATATTTAGTAAGTATGACTTGGAATTCATTGATTATGGTCCCATGTAAGGAGAAAGATGAAAGCTCTAAATTAAAATTTGGGTTTGCATCTGGAATTACAACCTTCCCTGACAAACAGGTGTCAGAAATTAACACTTTATAATTACTCCCCCCCTTTAAAAATCTTTAAGTACTTGATCAAGAAGAATGAGGGAAAAGCAAGTTCACCTTTCTAAACTATTTATCCACTGCATTATAGGGAAGTGATTGAGAAGAAGCCGGAAGTGTTCAAAATTGCCTGTCTGACAGATATCCGAAATTTATTTGGTTCCAATAGCTGGCCTTTCTATGCTGCTTTTGGGAACAGACTAACTGTGAGTATCAGTAGAATGAGGAATATGTATAAAGGAAATGAAACCTTGCTGATTATTATTATTATTATTATTATTTTGACATATATGCTGCTTGTGGTTTCTTCAACAGGATGTCTATGCCTACAAAGAAGTGGCATTGCCAGAATCCCGGATATTCACTGTAAACCCCAAAGGGGAATTGATCCAGGAACTCATAAAAATTACCAAGTCCACGTAAGCCTGCAGATTAGCCTATTCTTTTGCAGTCTGTAAATGTAACGAATGATTTACTTAAACAAAACATCTAAGTGGCTAATATAGGCAAAACTATGCAGTGACAAGTTTCTTCCTTCATGCTGTGATTCAGCTGAAACATTCTTCCACCTCTATCAGCATCATTCAGTTATACACAGCTCAGACATAAAGCTTTCTCCCAATTGTGCTGGATTTGAATGGAATCCTGTTGGATACATTCCAAAAAGTAGAACGTATTCGACAGCATTCCTTCCAAATCCAGCACAACTGGGAGAAAACTTGAATAAAGCCTGAACTTATAAAATCTAATATATATTTAAATTACATAAATTTTATTTTTGCTCTGGCTCTAAAAGGTAGAAATAGCCAGGGAAAAATAAACTTTACCTAATTTCAACATATATTAGATGTTATAAGTTCAGGTTTTATTAAACTTAAACAGAGTACTATTTCCCCATTTGGTTGCATTTGCATTTATAATTTTTACAACTTTTGAAGTTGGATATAATTTCAAAGGCCACATGTAACCTGGTCCCTCAGACTGTGCACCTACGTGTATAGAGGAAATTATGGAAGCATTAATGTGGATCTCACCACATTATATGGCAAGTGTTCTTAGAAATGAGCACAAGCAAGAAAGCTTACTATATATTACCACTATCTCTGTAATGGGTTTAATGTGAGATCCAAAGTTCAGGAGCATATGTATGGGGTGGACATAAGGGTATAATTAAATCAGTGGTGGGATTCAGCCAGTTCACACCACTTCGGCAGAACCGGTAGCTAATTTTTTGTGGCCCAGGCCCAGAATGGACTTTTGGAAGCAGCATCCACACAGAGAACTGGTTGTTCACTTATTTGAATCCCGCTGAATTAAACGCATTTATTAACATAATAAATAACATAAGTAAAAACAGGTATTCCTCATCAGTAATTGAACCCAACATGATAGTCATAAGTCGTGCTGGTCATTAAGTGGGTCATGTGATTGATCCAATTTTATATAATAATAGTAATTATTATTATTATTATCAATCATCGCACAGTCAGCCAGATGTTCAGACTGGATTTGGCATTTTGTCTACCTATCGAGTCCTTACCCAGGACCTGGGATAGGCAGATGTAGATGTTTGATGGTATTACAGGTATCGTCGCAGGATGGAAGCAGTTCCTAATAAGGCCGCCTTTTGCAATTGACTCATAGCAAATTTGTCAATGCCAATGGTGTTCAAGTGGTGCTCCAGTTGTTTTGGGATTGCGCCCAAGGAGCCTATGACTATTGGTACTACCCGTGCTTGCTTTTGCCACAGTCTTTCTATTTCTATTTGTAGGTCTTTGTATTTTGTTATCTTCTCCAGTTCTTTCTCTTCTATTATGCTGTCTCCAGGCACTGCCACGTCCACTATCCAGACTTTTTTGTCTTTCTTATCGACAATTGTTAAGTCTGGGGTGTTATGTTGCAGGTGCTTGTCTGTTTGAATTCTGAAGTCCCAGAGCAGTTTAAGTTTATCATTTTCTATGACGTTCTCTATTTTATGATCCCACCAGTTTTTGCTTACAGGCAAATGATATTTTTTGCAGATCTTCCAATGCACCATTGTTGCTACTTTGTCATGTCGCTGATTGTAATCAGTCTGTTCAATCTTCTTGCAACAGCTTACCAAGTGGTCCACTGTTTCTTCAGCTTCTTTGCATAGGCGGCACTTACTGTCTGTTGCTGTCTTCTCAATGTTGACTTTGTATGCATTTGTTCTTAAGGCTTGGTCTTGTGCAGCCAGAATTAGTCCCTCGGTCTCTTTCTTCAATTTTCCTGCTCTTAGCCATTGCCAGGTCTTGTTATTATCTGCTTTCCCAGCTCTTTTTTTCATGTATTGGCCATGTAGTGCTTTGTTTTCCCATGCCTCTATTCTGTTCTTCATTTGGTCTTTCTTGTAGGCCAGTTTGGTCTCTCCAGTAGTCAGTAAGCCTTCCTGATATACTAAATTCAGTGCATCTTCATCATTGTTCTTCAGATATTCTTCCAAAGCCATTTTTTTCTTCTTCAACCATCTGATGTACTTGTAGCATTCCACGCCCACCTATTCGCCTTGGTAGATAAAGTCTATCAATGTCACTGCGTGGATGAAGGGCATGATTCATTGTCATTATTTTTCTGGTCTGCATATCCATTGCTTTTAGTTCTTCTTGAGTCCAGTCCACTATTCCAGCTGTGTACCTAATGACTGGGATTGCCCAGGTGTTGATTGCCTTTATGGTATTTCCTCCATTGAGTTTGGATTTTAAGATCTTCTTCAATCTCTTGATGTATTCACCTCTAATCTTTTTCTTGACTTCAGTGTGCTTGATGTTGTCAGCTTGAAGGATACCCAAGTATTTGTAGTATTCGTCCTCATCCAGACTCTTAATGTTATTTTCGTGGGGCATCTTGATTCCTTCATTTTTCACTATTTTTCCTTGTTTGATAGTAAGTGTGGCACATTTGTCCAAGCCAAACTCCATTCCAATATCTTGGCTATATATACGGACAGTGTTGAGCAGCGATTCTATTTTAGATGATGTTTTTCCATACAGCTTCAGATCATCCATGTAAAGGAGGTGGGATAGTCTAGCAGATGTTTTTGATGTTTGATACCATGTCCTGAGTTATTCAGTATTGTTGACAGAGGAAAAACAGTGCAATAACCAAATAGTAATGGTGATAATGAATCTCCTTGAAATATTCCTCTCTTGATATTAACCTCTCCCAGCTTTTCACCATTGATCTGCAACTGTGTCTTCCATTGTGCCATCGATTTTTGCACAAATTTTCTGATGTTTCTACTTACTCCTGTTATTTCTAGGCACTTGATTATCCAATCATGTGGCAGAGAGTCAAATGCCTTTTTGTAGTCAATCCATGCCACATTCAGGTTGGTCTTCCTTCTCTTGCAGTTTTCCAAGATCATTTTGTCTATTAGGAGTTGATCTTTTGTTCCTATGCTATTGGGGCGGTTTCCTTTCTGCTCAGGTGGAAAGAGATTGTTTTCAACTAGATGCTGTTGTACTGCATCAGCTACCACACCAGTTAGTAATTTGAATGTTGTTGGTAAGCAGGTAATTGGCCTGTAGTTACCTGGTGTTGCCCCTTTTGCTGGATTTTTCATTATTAGGTAGGTTTTCCCAGTTGTTAGCCACTTTTCAATTTCTCCTCCTTGTAGTATATTGTTGAACTGTTTGGCAATGAGTGGGTGTATAACAGTTAGATGTTTCAACCAAAACCCATGCAGTTCATCTTCACCTGGTGCTGACCAATTTTTGATTTTCTTTGCTCTTTTTTCTACCATTTTTGTTGTTATTACTAGTTCTTTCATTTCAACTTCTGTTTTATTTGCATCCACCTCTTTTAACCAAGCCGCATCCTTGTTGTATTTCTTTGGGTTATCCCATATCTGCTTCCAGAACTGCACTGTTTCTTCCTTGTCAGGTACTGACTGATTCCTTGCAGTTTCTCCATTGATGGATTGGTAGAAACGTTTCTGATTGGATTGAAATTGGAGGTTCTGCCTATAGTTTGCAATTCGAGCTTCATATCTACTGATTTTCCTGGCTATAGCTGTTATTTGTTGCTTTATTATTTCCAGTGCTTCCTTGATCTTCCTTGTTTCTAAGTGGTATTTCTTGATTAGGTATTCTTTGGTCTTCTTGTTCTTCAGCTTCTTTTCTTTCATCTGTTCTAGCTTGCTTGCATGTGATCTTAACTTGCTGATCTTATTTTCTAGTCTAACCTTCCATTTTTCTGGTGCACTGTTTGTTTGTTTTTCTTTTTTGTTGATTTTGCATCCCAGGTATTCTGTTATAACTGCAGCTGTGCTGTACATTAGTTGGTTTGTTTCTTGCAGTGAATTGGTGCTTATACTTGATATTGCAGTATTTGCATCTTTTAATGCTTGTGCTAGCTGTTTCTTTGGAACAAGCTTCAATGCAGGTAGCCTTATTCTGTTGTTTTTGTGCTGTTCTAGATGCTCAGTTATTCTTTGTTTCAATTCTTTTATTTCTTTAGTTAGAGGGTTTTGTTCTTCCTGAGGAAGAGGTGCCTGGTTTCCAAATGAGAACAGTTGTATATCTCTACTGGATTCTTTCACTGCCAACTCCCCTGGTTTGCCTCTACATTCTGAATTACTTCTGGTAAGGCTTTGATTTCTTTGCCCTGGGTAAACCTTTGCAGTTCGTCCAATTCTGTTTCTGTGAATACTTTATTTCGTGTTATAAATCGGCGTTGATCTGCTAGTCTCTGTTCTGTTATTTCTGATTCTGGATGTTGTTCTT